TTGTTCTGTTTTGCCATTGGTAATTTTGGATGTCTTTTCTTCAATAGAATGAACCCTTGATGAAAGAACTTTGCCACGTTGATCTATCTCTTCAACCACTGTCTTTACCAGAGTGGTTTTGGGTAAGTCTAGAAAGAAAAATAAATGTGAACATATTTAGAGTCATCCTCAAAGATTACAGGACAAAGAGCCCATTGCTGATTGTAACATAATGAATTATATATATGTATTTGGTGAAAAAGTGAATATAGATCTATAATAATAGTTCAGGACCATTTTATTAACTTAAAATATTAATTTAAGTTTGAATAGTTAAAATTACTTAAAGAATTTTAACACGATAGTTAAAATACTGTTTTGGGATATTGCATGACTGTCATCAACATGTAAGTATTTTCTACAATAGAACTAGATTATATTACCATTAGAGGTATTCTCTGAATTTCCTGATCCAAAGCTCTTGGATTTGGAACATGAACTGTAAGGAAGAAAAAAAAAGTTTATTTTATATATAAATAATAAATATAAATATAATACAAATATATATGTAAACGTAAATATAAATTTTACTGTCACTTAGGAAAGATTGATGGAGCTCTGGTGGCCTAGTCCCTAGGGAGTTGCACTGCTCACCAAAAGGCCACGTCTCTCTAGTGGTTTGAATCATCCAGCAGCTCCTGGGGAGAAAGATGTGCAACCTCCTCCTGTGTGACTGAGAGCCCTGGAGACCCAGAGGAGGGCCGGCCAGAGGGTCAGGCACCACTCAGCTCTGATTTGACTGCAATGAAGTTGTGGTGGGGGCATTTTGTTTTTCTTTTTTGAGATCTAGTAAATCTCTTGGTTTAAGGAATGTGAACTCAAGTGAGCTCTGTGTGCTCAAAAGATATCTTGGGTTTTTCACAGAGAAAGAGATTTGAGATTTGATCTGCAGCAACTGAAAGTAAATAGAAATAGAGAATATTAAAGAAGAAAACCAAACTTGTTACTATTTAATTTCTGGAAGCTGAGGAATTGAAAACTCAAAGAGATAGAATATATATGTGTATATCTTGGCATTTGAATGCCCCCCTTCCAAAAAATATACAAAAGAAACTAGTTGCTGTGGAATCAACGGCTACTCATTGTGACCTTTTGTAATTTAGACTCCCAGGTCTTTCTTGTGAAGCAATTCTGGGTGATTCTCAACCACCAACCTCTTGGTTAGTAATAGCTAGCCAGGAACTAGGAGAGCTCTGGTGGCCTAGTAGATAAAGAGTTGTGCTGCCAACCCAAGGTTGTGTGGTTTGAATCCACCAGATGCTCTGTGGAAGAAAATAGAGCAATCTCCTCCTGAGCACTTTACAGCCTCTGAAAATCAGCTAGAGAGTCAGTTATGCATTGACTCATCCACATATAATGGCCAGGGCCGCGGTCAGTAATATTAAGAACGAACTGAAAGGAGAAGAAAGTCTGGGAGGAAAAGCCTGAAATGGACAGTCATTAACATGGACAACTGGGAGCTGCAGGGACGACTGTGGTGAGGAAGACACTGGGCTTTACTGAAGAGATGATGTCAAAGGCAGGAGAATGATAAGTGGGAATGGCAGTGTAGTGGGACTGGAAAATAAAAGGTGTGAATGAGAGTGGGTGGCTGTTGGTCTCAAACAAGCAAAATGGAACATTTGCATGGCTTGACTTACTTTCCATCTCCATCTATCAGGCGGCAATAGGTCTCGATCTCCTTCTCCAGGTGAACCTTGATGTCGAGCAGCTGCTCGTACTCGAGTTTCTGGCCCTCGGTCTCGGTTCTGACCTGGTGCAGCTGCTCCTCCAGGGCCCCGATCTGAGCCTGGATCTGTGTGAGCTGTGTGCAGTAGTTGCCTTCGGTCTCGGTCAGGGAGCACTCCAGGGAGTGTTTCTGTGGATACCAAAGATGCCACAGCAGGGGATGAAAAAACACCTGTGAAGACCCTACTTCCATGTTTCTCAAGATACTGCGGCACCGCCGTCTAGTGAGCTTTGGGTGTTTGTGAGTCTTGTTACAATAAGGCAGTGTGCAGGCGAAGAGACATGGCTGGCATTTACTAGGTCGGGACCATGCATATTACATAACCCAACCTCTGGTCAAATGGGATAAGTGATTATATCTGAGGGACTTTGGGCTGTTCCACTAGATACTCCTGATATTATTGCCAATCTGTAACAAGAATTTTCCTGAGTAGCATTGTAACAAATCCATTTGGGAAACTTGTATTTTGAAACGATATATTTTTTACTATCTAGAGGTCTACCCAGACACTTTCTCCAAGATTTTTGGTACTACTGTTTCTTTTTCTAATTAATCTTCGATTTTTCTGTCTACCAGAGGCCTTTTAATTAAGCATTCGAGATGGAATGAATGTTTTAACATGGGTGGAATTTCAAGACAAGAGCTATATTTTCCAGACTTTGTCACTGCTTCACCTAACAAGACAGTACAGGCTATTATCTTGACATTACTCATGGATATTATACTTCCTGTTTTCTAGTTCCATAATCTGTCATTTGTCTTGATATGTTATCCCTACTTTAAATAAGGTCCATGTCCTCTGTCCTTTATCATATGTCTCAAGGCAGTTGTTCTTTCTCTTGACATTTGTTATTATTTTTGTGTCCACCCACACTGCTGCTCTGTCATTTCCCTTCATTTCTTGTGTGAGGAGACTCCTGACCTTGTTTGTGGTCATTGCTGTTGGTAGGTGCCATTGACTTGATTCCACCTCATAGTGACCTTTCGTACAACAGGAAACACAGCACGTGGTCCTGCACCAGCCTCGCCGCTGCTGCTGTGGCTCAGCCCATTGGTGCGGACACTGTGTTAGGATCTTACATGGCTTTAAAGAAAACGTATTTCTTTAAAAGGCACATGTGAATCTGTCTGTTTCATTGCACGTTCTAAGTAGTTGAGTATCACTACTGACATTTTATGCACATTCCATTTAAAAGCACTTCCATTGCTGCATTCCTTTATGTTGTACTTATGACACTAGATGGTTTGCTTTTAAAAATTTTGTGCCTTATTAGTTTCTATTATCTGTGATTGCAGCAGTAGGTGAAACACAGTTGATATTCTGAGGAGGGTACAGAACTGGGCAGAGTTTCATTCTGTTGGAGTCCCTATGAGTCAGATCAGACTTGATGACATTTAAAAACAACAAACAGCATGGCATTATACCGTGTGCTGTTGAAAAGTTTGTGTATTATGCTACTTACTGATTTCATACTAAGTTTGGAAAGGGGTGTTGTATACTAGTCATCATAAAGGGTAGACATTGGGCCGGCACACCAGTGACTTGCACATTATGTGGGTCATGATGGGTGCTGCTAGCTCTCCAGGGCATAGGAGTAGACAGCAAACAGGATGATTATGGGGGTGGAGCGTGAGGCAACAAGTGTTAAAAGAGACCTAGGAGCTTGTCCATGTGATGTCTGCTCTATAGTCCGGCACTATAATTTCCTGGATGAGATGTCCTCATACGGGATTCCATTTTAAGGTTGCTAATACTCATGTATCACAGTGACTGACAAAGTAAGTACAGCAGTGGATTTGAGCATGACAGAGATGGTGACAATGGTGCAGGATATGGTAAGGTTCAGATCTGTTATTCACAGGATTGCTATGAGTTGTAGTTGACTTGATGGCACATAATAACAACAACAACAACAGGACTCTTGTAGAGACCCTGGAGAGAGGGGATGCAAATGGCTAACATGCTTGGTTGTTAATGGAAAGGTTGGAAGTTGGAGTCCAATCTAAAATGTCAAGGAAGAAAGGCTTGGCAATCTAATTCAAAAGCCCTACAGAGCGTCTGGAAACCCCATGGAGCACACTTCTTCTCTGACACATATGAGGTCACCAGAAGTCTGAAACAATTTGACCAGAACAGATGTTTTTTTATCTGAATATTCTTGTAAAAATTTTTTTTTGGGGGGGACAGTGTCTTAGGTTACCGTTTTAAGCCATTTAAGTTGAATGTAAACGAGGAGAAGATGATCACAGAAGTATGTGGGATATTTGCACGCCTAGATAACACTGAATTTACAACTGGTTTGTATGTGAAACTATAGAAGATTGACCCAAGAAGTTGTTCCACAATAAAAGACTCTCAGATATGAAAGGTGAGTTCTATGCCATCACTGTTCTATGATGATGCAGCTGTAAATGTTAAAAGAACTTCTGTGGTTCATGCCATGAGCCTTAGCAACGTGCACACCAAATACTTTGTTTCTATGTGAAAATACTCAAAATTCAGACCTAGGGTCTCAGGAATTTATTGCCTTCAATACAGCTAAGAAATGAGGAAATATTCAGGCTTACGTGACAGCACAGGAACAAGCCCTGTAGGATACTACTAGCTGCTGGAAAGAAGTAAATGGGATAAGAGTGGGCAGCTGGCAGTCATGATGAAGGTGAGAAGAAAGAGCTGGAGTCGTTCAATGGTGGAAACAAGTCTCTAAGTCTTGAATGGTGAGTAAACTGGCACGGCACCTTTTTTTTTTTAATGGTAGCTCAGTAAGAATAATCTTGTGATTGCTCTGAGTCATGGTTTCCTTCTGGTCTCACTGCATTAATTTGTTTAAGAGCTGCTCTTTGTGTCACAACCTGGTGTCCCCAGGGAGTGTGAGGAAAGGGAACCCTTGAGCCACATGTGTACCATAATCCTCAAAATCTGTTTTGGGTGCTGCCAGATCACACCCCAGGATGGAAGGCCAATTTTAATCGTGGGGTGTCTCTACAGTAATCTTTCATGTAATCTGGGTTCTTGTGAATGCCAAATTCTGTGAGGTGTGTGAGAATTGGTAGGATGAAGACATGCTGGGGATGAAGAAACTAACATTGCTTTTGGGATCCAGATGTGTACTACCTTTTATACAGTTGGAGGGAAAGTAAATGAGGGCTTTTAATATAATGTCAATGCATATATGGGAGGTCAGGTGGCTTAGTGGTAAGGAGTTTGTTTGCTGTCAATTCAGAGGCACATGGTTTGAATCCACCAGCTGCTTGGTGGAAGAAAGAAAGACTGGCAGTCCCTTCCTATGTGAATTACTGCCTCTGAATCCTGGGGGAGGGTCAGCTATGAGTCGGTTCCGACTCCACAGTACATAACAACAGGTCATTAATGCTTGGAGATGCCTGTTGGAGACTTGGCTCTGCCTGTGTAGTCACATGACCTGCCACCTAATTGTCAGGCAACTCGACCCTGGGGCGGGGGGAGGAACCACTTTAAGGAAGGAATTACAGTAGATGTTGGTTATTTTCACAAAATGGGCAGCAAGTGGTTGAGTGCTGGTCAAAAAGGCCATCTTCAGTGACCTCCAGTTAGCTGATTATCCGGGATAACCATGGTGACCCCACAGTGAGAGAGTGGACTGTGCTCCATAGGGTTTTGAACGGCTGATTTTTCTGAATCTTCCAAGATGCCTCTGTGTGGACTTGAACCACTAGTCAGGGGCTTCTCAGGGATTCAGAGAGGGAGAGAATGCCTTATCGGCCTGTCTCTTTCTCAGCATCTCTGGGTCTGTTTTTCGTCCTCCTTTCTGCACTCGGCCATGTGTTTGTGGATCAAGGTATAATAAGAGAAAAGGGGAAGGATTTCCCCTCAGGCTTCTTAGAGTCACCTACCGTCGCCAGGAGAGACTGCAGCTCGATCTCCAGGGTCTGCAGGCTGCGCTTTATTTCCATCAGCTCGTTCCTGGCCGAGGTGGCTGCGCCAGCATCATCAGAAATCTGCTGCTGCAAGGTGGCGCTCTGGAAGCGAGGTGCACACTGGTTAGATGGCATCTGTCCCCCCACCCCCATCACCCCAGCACGGACAGGGCTGGCTCCGCCGGCCTCACCTTCTCGTTGAACCAGGCCTCGGCGTCCCTGCGGTTCTGATCCGCAAGCTCTTCATACTCTGCTCGCATGTTGTTCAGGAGGACCGTGAGGTCCACCCCGGGGGCCGCGTTCATCTCCACGTTCACGTTGCCCCCAGCGGCGCACTGCAGCGCCTTCATTTCCTGGGAGGAGAACAGGAATCTGCCTTTAGGAGCAATTTATTCAATTCAGCTCGTGCAATCTGAAAAGAGCTTCCGAAGATGTTATGTATGCCTCAAAGTCTGCGACTTAGACTTAACTGAGTTTTTAATATCTGCTTTAATTCCATTCATCTATTTAATTAGTTACTAATTAGCACAATCACAACAATAAGCAGTCACAGCATTCCAAGAGAAGTTCTCGATTTCTTTGAGAGAAGAGGTCATAAACACACCATTTGGGCTGTAATCCAAATAGTATTATTGATAATGGAGATAGAGTAAAATAGGAAAAAAAAACCCAAACAAGCAAAAGTCCCTTTGAGCTTTTTGGTTTGGAGGCAACAGCTAACAGATACTTTACATGCACTAACTTGCTTAAGATTTAAAGATATTATTAGACTAATTTTCCAGATTAGGAAGTGGAGGGTACACAGAGAGAATGTAATTCCCCTAAATTACTTAGCAATGGGAAGGACCAAGATTTTCCCAGGTCCCTGGAACTGTAAAGCATCTTAGTAATTACATTCGTTGCTTCTCTGTTCTAGCTTATGCCCTGGTTCAAATCATTTAAATATTGGGCTTAGTCAGAGAATGGATTTCTGGGCAGATTCGTAGACCAATGATCTGAACTCAACTTCTTTAGGGAGCTAACTCTCCTTTTAACTGTTGTCTGGTGGATTCTTAACTGTGGTACCTCTGCTTTCTTGAACCGTTGTTTATGACCCTGGACCAGTGGCTTTCCAATGCCCACCAAGAGCGAAAGACTTAGTATTTTGTCAAGGGAAACCATTGGATAATGTGTTTCTCTGTCGTGGGGTTTTGTATAAGATTCCATTTGAAAAATTCTTGTTATTACGAAAGTTTAAAAATCAACTGCTTCAAGTTAGCACTTAGGTCGCTGGGAGTGTGGAAAACATATACTCTCAGGGGATGTTGAGCTGTGAGTGACTCCCACCCTTCAACTCCCTGTGAATGCATCTGTATTTCCTTTTTTCCTTCTGTGGTGCCCTTTTTCCTTTTTTCACATCACTTTCTACAGTTCATGGGCTGCTGCTTCTCACTCTCTTGGCTCTGTTCTCTGGTAATCTGATTCTTCCAGAACTCTGCTCTATCACTCTCTTCTATCTCCATGTTTCCCTTCTACCTATTTTTTTTTCCTTTTCAATATATCTTTTTCCCATCATTTTATCATGTGAGTGATGCAGATTTGATGTTTCAGTCATCCCCAACCAGTGATGGGACACTATTGGACATAGTGGGTGTAACTGTGATAATTACCTCTGTGTGTGTGTGTGTTTAATTTCTCCTCCATTATTTTGGAATTATGTTTGGAATGGTCATTTGCTTTTCTGAGGAGAATTAAACTGTTTGGTAGTAAGTGTCAAATAATGACGTTATTATTATACAATGCTAAATACTAAAATAAATGTAGGGGGCTTATCTCACATGGCTATATTTATGCTGATATATTTTCCTAGTTAGAGTGGTCTCTTGTGAAAAGGTTGATAGCAGGATGGTCCCATGAGGAAATTATTTCATTTAAAAGAAAGTTGGTGTATACTGCACTGAAATAGATGGTGGACTGAATAATTTAAAAGCAATGTATGATAGGGTATTATGGTTATCACAAGAGTCCACAATCAAGGTTGCATAGTGGAATGTACTTGGGGCGGTGG